CAGTTTGTCTTGGTCATCCTCTAGTCCTTCATCAGTGGTCACAGGACAATGTTGCCGAGTTATTTTGGGTTGGTGGACTATTCTCAGTCCAGCAGTGACACTAAGTTGTTTAAAAACTCTCTGATCCACTCAGACCAGCACAACACACACTAACACGCCACCACATCAGTGTTTACTGCAGTGCTGAGAATGATCCACCACCCTGTGAGGAATCATGGGGGTCCTGACCACTGAAGAACAGGGTAAAAGGACACTAAAAAAGTATACAAAGAAACAGAAGGACTAGTGTCTGTAAAATGGACAATGAGCGTAGAAACAAGGAGGTGGTCATAATGTTATGTCTGATTGGTGTACTTGTCTGTACAACAGTTTCGAAGGGTTTTATTATCAAAAAGATCTAAAACAATTAGTTTGCTAGCCTGTTGTTGTTTGCCTTGGCAATGTGCCATGAATTTAGGGAGGCAGAGCTTCTGAAGGAGCACTAGAGGGAGGAGTGTATTTGAGCATGCTGCTCAACCCCCTCTTTCCTCCGGTCCGAGAAGGTCAGGACCTCTTCCTGTCGATTCTCCAGTCCCTGCTGCGAGTTTTGTTATAGGAACACATTGCTCTGACAAAAGAAGTTTAATGAAGTTAAGCAATCAGTGTACAAATGGTAACTCTACAAGCGCCGCTGCCATCTCTGTGTTGACCAGTAGTATGTTAACAATATATGGCAGTAAAAGAATACCCTTCCCAGCAGTCTTTCAACAGCAATGACTTAAAATTCAAGACGCGTAATATCTTGGGAGATCACAAAAAAACCCAGGGCCCATCTAAGGACCTGCAGGCCTCACTTACACCGGATAATGTAAGGCAAACACTGTGTAGTATATATGGAGCAAAGTTTTATGTTTTATGTTTCCTAATAACCACCTGGATGAGTCAGAAGCCTACTAAAGTAATGCTATGTGGACAGATAATGCAAAATATATTTTTATGTCTTAAAATGAATTGTTTGGTGTGATGGGGTCAGTAAATCTGTCCCATCACCAAGACTGTGAAAGGACACCGGGGCATAAAAAGGGGGACAATGACTGGAGTGAAACTTAAATTATTGTAAAATGTACATAGAAGAAATACTTACCTTGTTCTGTCCTGATCCTCAGGGGAGCGCGGGCGCCTTCCAGGGCTTCCCTTATACTGGCCGGTAGAGCCCACGGCTGTGTGTAGAAGGGGGGAGGTGGGATCCGGGAACCTGTGGGGAGAGACAGAAAAGGGTTAGGAGTAAATTAATGTAAATGAGTTTGATTACCGGTAAAAAAAAGAAGCTTCCTGTTATGTGTATTATTTGTATTGTGTTTATCCTGAAGTCGTTTGGTTGTCGTTTGTTTTGTGTATCCCCTCACTGGCCCGAGGGAATGGTCTGGGTTAACCAGATGGGGCGGGGATAGGGTCTTAAAAGAATTCATTCAGAAGGGAGGAGAGGATGTGTCTAAATGGCCTTGCGGCCGCCGGCACAACCTGGCTGACGCCTAGCCAGGAATATCCGTAGTGGACTGCTTGCATGCTTGGAAATAATCCCTTCCTGTCTTAGTCTTTTTAGTTGCACTGCAACCCGTTTATTTTATGCTTTCACTCTTTTCTTTCACTTTTTGCGTGCTTGTGTATAAATAAAACATCACGTGTGTGCAAGTCGAACTTTGAAGCCCCGCCTGATCTTTTCGAGGGGAACTCAGCCTCTGAACCGTCACGCTACACATAAACTAGTGCAGTCCTGCGATCCCTTCACCCCAACATTCCCACATTTGGTAAAAAGTAAACACTGCATACCAGCATAAGACCCCCATCCGTACTTTGAAACATGATGGTGGCAGTATCACGGTTAGGGGCTGTGTTGCTGCTATTGAACCAGGACAGCTTGCCATCATTTGAAGGAGCTATGATTCTGGATTGTATTAAGAACATCTACAGGAGAAATCTATTGCAAGCATCCCTGTACTGAACCTCAACAGAAAGGACCCTGCAGAAGGACAACAATCCTAAAATATCAGTTAGTCTATAAGGAATGATCAAAGCAGAACAAATGAGTCAAACTCTAGGCTTTAATCCAATAGAAATGTTGTGTCAGGATCTAAGATGTGGTGATCAACAGTTACAGGGACCACTTGGTTAAGGTTACTGCTGCTCAGTGATCTGGATTTGGGCGAGTTTTTATCGCCTGATTCTGAACAGTCATTCAAAAAGAGGCAGAGCTGACACAAGCTGCCAGTGTTGGACCTGTTGTGGCACGCTCAGCTGGCAGGAACTGTGCCAGCATTTCATAGCTAGCTGGGATGTTGGTTAAACTGATAGCATTAGAATTGGTTTGGAAGTGGTAACTGAGTGGCCAGGCCAGAGTTCATGCATTAGCTCACATGAACCGGCCCACAAGGAACTTTTGAGACTCTCCCGATTTCTCACTCTGGCATTGCTTAGCTTTGTTTACGTGGACCTTTTGATATCCTTCAAAAATGCACTGATGCACATCACTGATTTTGTTGCAGGTGTGTTTGTGGGTGGAGATCAATGTGAGCAGGAAACGCAAGCAAATCAGAAACCGTGTTGTAGAAATCTGTTGAGTTTTTCATAGAATTAAGCCAAGAAAAGTGTGAATTTTAATCAAACTAGCCTGTTGTAATGTTTCAAAGTTGTTATTAACATGAATGTAATCTGACAGCAGTCATTTGTGTCTGCATGAGAACATCACAGTATGCTTCATCAAAAGTTCAACTCCGGTGACCTTTTTGAGGGAATGCTGGTGGTACCTGTTGTCCGGTCATGCATTGCTCACCCCAACCAACCGACGTGCTCTGAACGAATAATACAGTTAAGAATTGCTGATGCTGTTCTAGCCAGTAGAAACAGCTCAAAAACAGCTGCCTCAAAACACGTTTGACATTGTCCCAGCTTGCCCACATCTGTAACAGGTATGTAGTGCTTTTAATAGCTAGGTGTCTGGAACGTGTTAGAGTAAAAATGTGGACAGACTGGAGGTTTCTGAGAACTGGTTTGGAAACCACAGGTCTACCTGCAAATGACTGTAAGCTGTGGTACAAAAAAACAATGTTTAAAGCAGTTTAAAGCAGCACTGCAGCACATGCAAATTTAAAAATCTCACTCCAACCACCTAAAAGTCTCTCTCCAGTCATCTAATCTGAGTTGGCAATCTAGTGACTTGAAAATCATAGCATTCTTCCACACCGCGATGTATGTGGATCATTCTACCCCACTGGTATACCAAATGTTTTGGCAGCGCCTGTTTCAGTAGGGACAATTTAACAACATTACTGCTACTGAGTGCTGATTGATTAGCATTACTGCTACCAAGTGCTTATTGGTTGGCTTTTCGATCAACTCCTTGGCTGAGGATGAAGCGGTTTGCGCTCACTGACATCAGGGATGTACACAAATCATTATTAGAACATTTTATAACTAGAGTTCAAAAAATATATCCCTCTCAAAAATATAGGCCCACCATCTAACATACCAACGTCGGCCCACTGTCTAACTTTGGTTGCCAGGTATTATCAGGCTACATAAGCCCACCTTCTAATATTGGTTGACAGCCAGTTCAGATCAATTTAGACTATTGGTTATATTACCTATTGCATTACTGCTTTTGCATGCTGATTGGTTAGCACTACTGCTCCTGAGTGCTGATTTGTTAGCATTACTGCTTCTGAGTGCTGATTGGTTGGTATTACTGCTACCGAGTGCTAATTGATTGACATTACTGCTACTGAGTCCTGATGAGTTAGCATTACCACTACTGAGTGCTAATTGATTTGCATTGCTGCTACTGAGTGCTTATTGGTTGGCATTACTGCTTCTGAGTGCTGATTTCTTTAGCATTACTGTTACTGAGCGGTGATTGTTTAACATTACAGCTACTGAGTGCTGATTGGTTAATGTTACCGCTACTGCGAGCTGATTTGTTGGCATTACTGCTACTGAGCGCTGATTCTTTAACATGATTTCCACTGAATGGTTAGCAGTGCTGCTACTAAGTGCTGAATGTTTACTGTTACTGCTACTGAGAGCTGACTGGTTAGTGTTACTGCTACTGCGAGCTGGTTTGTCAGCATTACTGCTACTGAGCGCTGATTGGCCTTTTAATCAGCTCATTGCCTAAGCAAAGCTGTTCACGCTCACTGAACGAGGCGTTATCAGAACATCCTATAACTAGAGTTCAAAAGCACTCAAAAAACCTGAGCAGTATTAAAATATTCTATGCTGGTATGTGTTAAGAAAAGTAGGGCATTTTTCATTTAGAAATGATTAAGCATGAACAAATTGTGATCTCGCACAAAAGCCCCATAGGAGACCATTGATTCTGGAGCGCCCACTAGAGTCTGACATTACTGAGCGGCAGTTCTTGCACCTTTAGCACACGCAAAAATAGAAGACAAACACATTAGATAAGTTCTATGAAAACAATTGGACTGGATTGTCATATATACAAATGTGTATATGTCTGGATGAAAAATACTAAATATCTGTATCTGCCCACAAGTCCTTCATCGATGCATCTTGAATTGTACATTTTCAGTATTTTCAGGATTTCAGACATTCATTAAGTGCATAGCTGTCCTACTTTAGCACCATCATTAAAAACAAGCCCACTGATTGAACTGCAACCAGCTAAAGGAACTACAGTGACCACAAGCCTCAATGAAGTCAGAGCAACATTCCTCCTAGCAGAGGAGCCAGCTGCCCACCAAACTGTAACTTCATTACTACAGAATGCCACTTAAAACACAAGCCGACGTGATCCTGATCTCAGCACAAACGGCACGCGTATCCCTCTAAGCACTAAGCAGATGTTTTTTTTTTTTTATGCTACAAGAACAGCAAACCAGACCAATAACACGAAGCAATAACACGAGAAAGACGAAGTGGCTTTATTTGAGGCTGATGTCCCATGATTCATAGGTTCAACTCTCAATACAAGAATAGCGAGTGACACAAGCAATTCTCAAGACTCGAAAGGTTTGTAAATGCTTTATTACTTGTACTGAATGTGATTTATCCACTTTAGACCATGAGTGGGACTCAACATTGCCTTACATGTGTACTAACTGCAGGACTGGAACTGGGTCAGTCCTACAGTACAAGACAGAACTTTATTTACTAGTGACATATTAAGAGCATGAAAGATGGTCTTCATTTGCCCTTTTCCTTGCCGTACTTCTTCCTGTAGTATCCCCTGGCGAGATTGGAGACGCACTGACTGAACTCGCCGAAGTTCACCTGGCCGTCGTGGTTCTTGTCGATCTTCTCCAGGGCTTCCTTGATGTCATCTTTGTCTATCTTACTCTGAGAGAGAGAGAGATGAACAAAATTTATTCCAGTACAATGTCCATATATTCCAAAATGTAGCCTCATTCTGGAGGCACCTGTGGCTATTTCGCTGGCAGAATGGAAATCGACTCTGTGTGTGACTCTGTTGAGCTGCTAGTGAGCAATGATGACGAAAGGGGACGGATGAGAACCCTCTACTGTGAAAACAAAGCTGGTCGTGCTGTGAAGAGCACATCTGCAGCTTTCTTCCTATCAAAAAATCATCTACAACTGTGACAAAACGGACCTATGGAGTAGATGTGCGTGATTAGACTCTGCAGAACTTTTCATTTAAAAATGTTTTAAACAGGCACTTTTTGACAGAATATATTAATTTTTTTATTATTATTCTGTTTTTCGTTATACGTTCGCATATCAGTGAAGTGAGCAAACTGAGAAAAGCCCATAACACAGCTTCCTCTGCTCCGAGGCCTGCACTCTTAAGAAAGATGGTTTGAAAGATTGCTCACGTCGTGAAGATATTGAAGACATAATTAAATCAGAGAGAAGCGTACTGGAAAAGGAGATGGCGGGGTTAAGAGCAGACTGTCTGGACTCTGGGGTGGTCAGTGTATTTTTTTGAGAACACCAGCAGCTTCTTTGGTTAATTTCTTCATTTTTTTTTATCTATTTCCTTTTTTGACAGCTGCTAAGTTGTCTTCTCGCAGTAGTAGGATGGACAGAAACACCTGCGTATTTTTTCTGATCTGAAGCAGGAGTGGAGTATGTTGTCCTTAAATATAAGAGCTTTAAGAACTGTTTATCTGCTTGGGACAGTTTTGGTTGTATCATTTTTTGAACTTTTTTGAACTCCTGATGTAATTATTATTCTTCTATTCAATGAATTATTTACAGGATTGCTCACCTTATTCAGTCGGATAGCAATTGTATTCCGAATGGCCTCAATCGGACTAGTCTATTCTGAGTGAAGTGTATACATGGACGTATTCTATTCCAATTGAGCTATTAGTCGGATCTTTAACGGATTATTAGGCTGCATGTAAACGTGTCTACTGAATCTAAACACAGGTTTTATATGAATTATTCAGTATGTTCTAAGTCATCACTTCAGTAGACGAAATTAAAATGTCCCCCACCACATTCTCACCTGGAAATCAGGGCTGCTCAGTTGGGTCTTTATCAGCTCACTGAGCTCTGCATTGCTCAGCTTCTTCTTTTGTTCATCTTTCCCAGCGTACTCCTCGAAAACTTCTACTATGGCCACAATGGCTTTCTCTAGCTTAGACATGGCTGAGGAAGAGAAAGAGAGATAGAGACAGAGAGATAGAGAGGTTGTTAAAGTAGTTTAAAGACAGAACCACAGATGGGGTTTCTTTGCCAGCTAGCAATATTAAAACAGCTGAAGCTGCACTAAAAAAGTGACTTTATTTGATTGTAAATTTGTACATTAGTTCCACATGAACAAAATATGTCACACCATCACATTTGTTTTGCTTTTTACTCACTTTTGGCATAAATTATGTTAATATTGTGTATTTTATTCATTTGAAACTGATGTAAACAATTAAATCTAAAAAATTCTGTGAACTTTTTTTAATGTCATTTTCTGCTAATAGCCAAACATTGATACTGGGAATCTGTTTGGTGCCATCAATAAATCTCCCAGCCCCAATGTATTATAATTAGACATGCACTATGATACCGGAATTATATTGCGATTTACAAGAAATTGTAAATAAGCCTCACTGGACAGTCTATTCTCTGCAAGAGAACTTGAGAGGAGGTGTGTTATTGAGAGGAGGTGTGTTATTGCAATTTAGATCATACTAGTATTTTTGAACACACTCCAAATTCAACCTTTGAAGTTAGTTACATTTTCTATTTCTCATGATTCAACTAATTCCAAACGCATTCAGTGACATGTTCTATTGATTTCATTCAACAATATAAAGCAAAACAAGAAAAAGTAAAACAACATGTTTTATTATTGCAGTGCTTTAAACAGTAGTAGCCTCATGCACTTTTGGATAAAGCCATAAAACTTACAATATCAGGTTCAGCTCAGCTTTTCTCAATATTTGACAAGATGTTTTTTGTTTGTTTCTAGCTAACTCTAGTTTCTTTAGTTGTTCTGTTGCCAATGCCTACCAGAATGCATGCTGTCATTATTATTGTTATTTTCCTATTATTTAAATTCCAGAAAATAAAATCGACTCAGTTTAACCATTTAACTACTTAAAACACAACAATTTTTATGCAACACAAATCCTGCATCAGCCTATTTCTGCCATTTAGAAGCAAAGACAAGTTGGACTACATGATTTATGGTGTCTCACTAAGCATCATATGTACTTATATGTAATTTCTGCCTCTTGCACTACATATTGCTCAATAACTTCCCAACCGCTCACCTGAATTTCTGCAGAGTTTGCTGTGATCTAAGATGAAGACAGCTTGATTCCGCTTGAGAGTGCACTTCTGACTGCATTAATATAGCTGTGGTTCATGCCTGGCCAACGCCTGCTATGCACCACACCCGCGTTTGTGCCCGTCAGGCCAACAAAAGAAGAGAAAAGGAGTTAGAAAACACTGAAACTATGCATGTCATTTACACTGTCAGATCCTTTTATAATGAGAAGGGCGGTTAAGTGTCAAAAGTATAGACGTAAATTAAGGCTCCTCACCCAGACTGGATGGGTTAACGTTCATGAAGTTTTTCTATTCCGAGCACAAAACAGGTATTCTGACTGACTGAAGCTTCCCATCCCACCCCCTTTTTGTTTTCCTTTTTTTCGAATGCTGTTCCAGCATTGCATAACTGACCTGACTTTCTCAAGCCTTCCTTTATGCTGTATATCAGGGGTATTTGACTAAAAGTCGGAAAGGCTCAGTTACATCAAATTTCTTTCTTACAAGAATCGTAACAAGGAAAAAGTAAGCTTAAATAAAATGGAAACAATGTTGATGTGCTTTTTGCATGAGTAAAGTGGTCTCATGTGGTCACAGTATGGATGCAATTTAGTGAAAAAAGGATAAATGGAATCAGAGTTCATCACTGGACACTAAACCTGAGATCTTCTGAGATATTTAGTATGTCTCCATTTTGCTTTAATGACAGTGGACACTCAAGCTGGATTCTCCTGCACAACTTTCTGGGGGCTTCGTTGTCATGTTTTGCGCTTATAATGCAAAACATGTCTTCAGTGGGAGTTAGGTCTGGACTGCAGGCAGGTCAGTCTAGCACCCACACTTTCTGCTTACACAGACATACTGTGGTAACACCTGCAGAATGTGGCTTGACACTGTCATGCTGAAATCAGCATGGACGTCCCTGAAAAAGACGTCATCTAGAAGGCAGCATATGTTGCTCCAAAATGACTATATTTCTTTCAGCACGACTGGTGCCTTCACAGATGTGCAAGGTACCCACTAAAACACCCTAATACGATGACAGACTCTCAAGCTTTATACTGGTAACAACCTGGATTATACACTGATATTATTCCAAAACTGGTGGATTATTTGCTGATGGATTTTTTTGGTAAAGTTCTGAGTAGTCTTAATTTTTACTATGCAAAAGCCCGTTTGATGAATTGGAGCTTTTGGCTGTTCCTTTCATATCATAGCATGTGCAAGTGACACCCACCTTGATCACATAGCAGTTGCTTGGAAATGTTTACCATGAAACAACGAAGGAATAAATCTTTTTACAGACTATTGCCCCTATATTTCTTTTTAAAATGTGTGCACTTTGTCAGATTCCCTCTTTGATCTCATTTTGCTTGGTACAATGGCCTTTTACATTTGTTCAAAGCAGGTTTGTCTACATTCTGTTTTAGGTCAGAGGGGAGTGGAGTATTTACAACTGACGCCTAGCATTTACAGTAATATGAAGCCTGTTTGAGGCTGTAATGTTAAATGTTTTGAGGGGAAATAGGATCCATATGTCTTTGAGAAGTGCAAAGATGCCCTATTTTTCCTTCTACTGCTGATAAAGAGAGTGAAAAAATCTGTTGGGAAAACCACCTTTTGCTTTCTGCTTTATCCACCCCACGGATTGCCACTTTTCCTTTTTAAGGATAAAGGTGCAATATACGATTTCTAATACAATTTTTATCAAATTCAGCCAATATCTTCTCACAGTCTGCTAGGTCTCTGCTCAGTGTGCATGCTGGAAAAAATTTGGTGTTCATACACAGCCCTGGCTCTGTAAAATGGAAGTAAACAAATTGCCTTTGGCCGACACAAACAACACCATTCCAGCCAATCTGCAACAGGGGGCGTTCATGCTCATGCACAGGGACAAGGAAAAGGGGAGGGACTACATGTTGCTGAATTCCACGCATCGCCAAGAAGATGAGAGAGATGGCCAAGAAACAGCCAAAGTGGAGAAAATCTGAAGAACAAAGATTGAGAAAGAGGTTTTTAGATCAGGCAAGGGCGTTTCAGCAATGGAGAGACCATCAGGAATTGATGTTGGGGTGTTTCAGTAGTGGAGAGACCTCTGAGAATTGACGAATTGATGTGTGTGTATGTATGTCTACAGATTTGCAAGGTACCCTCTTATTTATCCTCATACCATGACTGACACTGACTTTTGTCTGTAAGGTTGACTTGTCAGACCACAATAGATGTTTTCAGTATGTACCACCCCATTTTGTGTGAGCTCCAGCCCAGAGAAGCTGCCAGCGTTTCTGTACATTGTTGACATATGGCTTTGGCTGTGCATAGTACAGCCTTAACTTGCATTTGTGGATGCAGTGACTGAGTGTTTATTGACAGTAGTTTGTCAAAGTATTTCCAAGCCCATGTGGTGATTTCTGTCTCAGAAACATGCTGGTTTTTCATGCAGAACTGTCTGATTGATCGAAGGTCATGGGCATTCAGTTGTGTTTTTCAGCCTTTTTAATTCCCTGAATCTTTTCTGTCATGACAGAGATGCATGATTATGCACTATAGGAGGCAAAACATCTAAAGTCTATACAAGCATATCAGTGTCAAAATGAAAAAGAAAATGAAATGAGTTAAATGGTGATGCAATTGTATGTTTGCATTTAACTTTCCCACTCATATATGCAATATTGAGCTCAAATTGAAAATTCAGTTCTGAAATTTGCCATTTAGATGCATTTGTGTTCAAATAATAATTAAATTATTTTATCTTATGTGCATTTTTACTCCCTAATATGGCATTTGAATTGCATTATCTAAGAGAACAGCAAGCTAGAAAGAGGGCAAAATTCAAATGTAAATGGGAACAGCGCCTCTCCACTTCGCAGTTACACATTCTGGCCTACTGCGGTCATTGTGTGGCAAAATGCATTCGACCAGATTGCATTTCATTTTCATGGTCTTCCCAACCTGTCAATCATCCTATCAGGGTGGCAGCACGCTCAACAGTCCCAACAGTCCTTGCAATTACTCAGAAATGATACTGTTAAATTATTTGGTAATGGATTTTTCGGTAAAGCGGTGAGCCTCGATATACGTGGTGATGGGATACATGTAAAGCATTACGAGACAAAATACTCCCCAAAGAAAACTTTTTTTATCATCGTCCACCGTACAAATAAAAACTCAGAAGGCTCTTGCAGGTTCATTGGTGATTTTAGGTAGTAAATAAAATGGCTAGAATTGTGTAGTAGACATTGCGACTCCTGGTCCCCATCAAGTAAAGAACTGTAAAGAAAGCCGAGATGATAAGTTTATCAAACCCCTTTAAATGATTTAGTTTACATACTTTTTATTTAGTAAACTTGGTTCTGTATGAATCAGTACATTTCTGCTTCTTATCACCTGATCCACCACCTTCAGTTCCAAGCCCTCTCCTCCCACAATTTTAAATATGACAAACAGAGCATATTTGATTGGTTGGAGCAGGGAGGTTTTGGCTGTTATGTTCATATTGTACCATGCATCACATAGCAGCTGCTTAGACCTGTTTATCATGAAACAGTGAAGGAAGCTTTTTACACAATAATGACCCTATTTCTTTGCTAACTTATTCCTTTATGAATGTGTGCTAAGATCCCATAATGTTGGTACACTCGCCTTTCTGTTTGTTTAATACAGGCTCGTCTAGGTTTTGTTTTAGGCCGGAGGGGAGCGGAGTATTTGTCTGTGTGACACCCAGCAATTACAAAAATATGAAGGCCTTCAGCATCGCGAGGTGTGTCAGGTGGTGTTCTTCTTGAATGGTTGAAGATAAATGTCACATAGGACTAACTTCATGTCATGTGTAGCAGGTTGAAAAGCTGCTTCAGGAACATAGTGCTCAGAGATTAAAGCTAAAAATGGTTCTGTATAGTAATGAAAATGTTCATATTGCTGATGTAGGCAAATAGACTCATAACATAAAGACTCTAGCACTAAACTATTATTGGTATATTATACAACAGTTAGAAAGTCCATTTGTACTGTGATGAAAGAGCAAAAAAATAAGCTGTTTAGTTTCAGCGAAGGGTAATATTATGCCTACAGCATACAAAGACATTTTACACAGCTTTGTTATTACAGCTCAACTTTGTGGCAGCAGTTTGGGGAAAAGCCTTTGTTGTTACACCATGACTGTGCCCCTGTGTACAAAGCGAGGCCCATAAAGACATAGTTTGATGAATTTAAAACCATTCACAAAATGACCACTAGATGGCAGGCATGCACATCACACAGACGGTGTCCGAGAGCAGCACATCCGGGTACACTCTTGTGTAATGCCCCCGTCCTTTTCTGGTGAAAGCATCCCCTCTAATTTGCCTAGTGGTAAATACAAATTTCAAGGTCTTGGAAAATTACACAGCATAAAACAATTCATGGCTTTTTTGGAGACCAAGTCCTACAGCCAGGCAGGCAAATAAATATGACGGGTCGTTGCCACCGATCAACATTGTTATAAAAAAAAATTAAAGAAATACGGTATGACGAGTGTCTCTACCCTACCCAGCGGCCCGAGGTGTCATATCCTGACACATATAACTAACTAGGTAATGCATTTCTGACATCACCTTTTCTGTCCTTGCTTAATTTAATCTACGAGAATTCGATTAACTTTTTATTTCAATTTAGTTTTATTGTCATGGCATTAATGCAGCATTTAGACACACTTTGAATTTGTAATATTATGACGATGATCAGGACATAAAAATCACTTTGGGGAACTGGGAGGTGAATCTGTTTCAATTGGGCCTGATCACATTTCACCCCTCACCTCTACCGTTACCCCTCCATTTTGCACATTTATGCCTGGGGGTAGGGTGTCCTGATTTTTGTTGAGATAGAGGGGTAGGGCAAAGTGTTAGGGCTACATGGCCCACACTCCAAATTTTGTGTTCTGAGTAAAAAAAGAAAAAAATAATCATTAACTGGCCGAGTCCCACACTTTACCATTTTCTCTATCTCTGCAGATGGTCTGAAGCCACAGCTCTCCTTTTGCTGTCCTTCACTCTTTGGGGAAGTAAAGAAAATTGTAAACTTTTTTTTTTTTATTGTTAGACACAGGAGATGCACTGGAAACCAGCACTGGTAGAGCAGCAGCTTGGGAGACAGGGACTGGATCAGGTTGGCAAGCGGGCACTGGAGCCCTGGGTGGAGCAGCTTGGGAAGCAGGAACTAGAATGGCCTGGGGAGCTGAAGCCGTGCAGGGAGCAGGAACCAGAGTCATCTGGGGCATAGGAAGAGGGGAATCAGAACCAGCTGTGGTTGCCAGGGGAGGCAGCTAGAGGATCCACCACAGGAAGGTAGCTTGGTGATACATTACTGGCGAGGTAGCTCAGGGTGGCATGATGAGGGCAAGTGCCAATGGGTCATACTCTCTGTAGCACTGTGACAATGACTCCTTAAAGTAGGCCAACCTGCTGAGGCACTCACCCCTGAACTGGTCAAAGGGTTTGAGGCTACTTGCTGCAGCCTTGATTGGCAAAGTCTTCTGTAATGTAGGGATTGAGGCAGGTTGCATGTGTGAGAAGGCTTGACTTTGGGTAATCCAACTCTCCACTCAAAAACATGGGCAGGCAACATCAGAGGCAGATAATCAAAAATCAGGTGGACAAGGCAGGGGTCAAAATAGGAAAAACAACCAAAACAAAGTTATAAGTTAGTAAGGAACAGAGACTTTGCATACTTACATATGTAGCGGATGTAATTAATCCAGAGAACAATCTGCAGGTGTGTGTAATGGAGAAGTGGGTGAAGCCAGGGTGGAACTTGAAAAGAAAAGCACAAAAGCACATGGTCTACCTTCAATGCATTGCGGTCCATGCAACCTTAAGTCTGTACCTTAGAGGGCAGCATTGTAATAAAGGCAGTGTTTTATACCAACAGTCAGTTCAGATGTGACTGGGTGCCTACCTTCCTCAGAATACTGACTGAGAGGGCAGCGTTTGTTATGTTTCAGACATAGCCATCGTCTGGGAATTTTGAAAGCAGCTGATTTAGTGCCTTTGCAACCAAAGGACCACTTTGCAACTTTGGCATGGGGGACGTCAGACCAGGTGTGAAGTCGTTCAAATACTTGGGACCATCCATTGCAGATATAAACATTCAGTTCAGTGAATATCCATTAAATATGTACAGTCGTGGGTGAAGGAAAGCGGTTCAGTGCTCCTTCAGAAGCTCCGGCCCGCCCCCAAATTCATGGACGTGCACTTCTGAGGCGAATGACACTGGCTAGCAAACTTGTTGTTTTAGATCTTCGTGGCCTTAAAACCCTTCGTAAACGTTGTACGGACAAATACCATGAATTAATGTTAGAGCGAACAACCACACAGCAAATAATGGAACAAATGTTAGCTGGGATGTGGGTTAACAAACTGTTGCTACAATTACTACTGTGAAGCTAACCAGTTGTTATCACAATCATTAGCAAATGGGACAAAACCATGCTGACCTATTGATTCTGTGAAACAGCAAAAGTGAGTCAATGTTACAAACCTGTCAACAGAAACAGAGCAACCTCCTCATCCCTATTCATATGCTTTTCAACTGTTGTTTGAATTTTTCTGTTCCACCTTAGATGGTGCAACAATTACATTCTGGCACCTCAAGCTGTTTCTCGGCCATCTCTTCTTCTTGACAATGGAGTTCAGCACCAATCATATGCCAGATTCACAGTCTCAAGAATAATCTCATTTTTCTCAAGTGTATTCTGGCATAAAGTGGAGGTGATCATTGTCTCAATGAATGTTTCCCAGGTCCTGTGGCTGCAAAACAAACCCAAACAACCCAGCATCAGTGTCTGACCTCTCAAATGCTGTTTTGACTAAATGGGCACAAATTCCTATAGACGGACTCCAAAATCATGTGTAGAGATTGCCAAAAGTAGAGGTTGCAAAGAAGGGCCAAAACCATATCAGTGCCAATGGTTTTAGAATAGGATGTTCAACAAGCTCATATAAGTGTGATGGTCAAGTGTCCACATAGAGCATAGGAAATGAAGTGTACTAGACTAAGGCTCCAAAGTGAGAGGTGTAAGCAACCAAAAAGGCAAAACAGGTGCTGAACCGACAGAATTTATGAACAGCCATTTGGAGTGGACTCATGTGAAATGGTGCATAGAACAGTCAGAATTGTCTGCGGTGGTGGTAAAAGGAACCAGACGTAAGAAGAGTTTAATGCCTCTGAAAGCTGTTGGTTACAAACACGTTACTTCATGAGACATTGGTTTTTGATAGTCTTGACACAAGATTTTGAACTGAAACTTGTTTTTAAAATCCATTAATAGTGGAAAGATAGGTGTAGGTTCACTGGTGGTTTTGGATACTGAATAAAATGGCTATATTTTGTGTTGTGGCCCATAGTTCCTCTCGGCACCACTGTAAAGAAATCTGAGTCACTGACGTTCTTTTTGACTGCCAGTGTATAATTGGTTCATTCAGTGATCACCCTACCCCCCCCAACAACGCCACACAGACACACAAGTAGTCTATTTCAAACGTTTTATTGCACAGAATGATAAAACATTTCAGTTTATGATCAAGCAAAACATTTTTATGTTTTTTAATGAATGAATGAGTACATATATTTCCTCTCTACTTTTTCTTTTGGTCTTTGAAGAAATCGTTGCAGACCATGGTGAGGCAGGCCACCAGGGTGACATACTCCTGGAAGTCCACGGTTCCGTCAGCATTGGCGTCCAGGTCCTTAAAGATCTTATCCAGTGCTTTCTGGTCTGTGGTTTTCTGTCAGATATAACACAAACCAAACGCAGCACATGTTGATTCCACCTTCCTGCATGTAAATCCTGCTGAACTGTGCAGTCTCTAAGGCATTCAGTGTACTAGTCAAAACATGTTTGGTGCCCAGTGTTTGCTTCTGCACTGGAGCTACAAGGCTAATGTTGCTAACAAGTAATGGAAGCTTATAAGCACCAGTTAGCACTGTGCAAACTGCACGCATAAACCATTCCTTACTTGCCTCAAACCATGCTGAGTTCTTGAAAAAAATCTTGTCCCACATGGAAAAACATATATTTGGAATGTATTTATCAAATATATTTTTGCAGTGTATGTAAATGGTCAAAAATGTATTTGTTAAATATATTTTTAAACTGCATTTATTTGTATTTGTTATTATATTTTTCCAGTTTTGACAAAAGGTTACAGACAAACCTAAATGGTACTGACCTCTGTGTATCGCATTGCACTTTGCATTGGGCTATTGTATGTATGCAGTAAGACACTCACACAAAATGTATTTCAAATAACCAGGATATCAAATCATAAATGCATTTTTACAGATTATCAATACCTACAACACTTGATTTTGCCATGTTAAAGGTTCATTTGCTAATATTTAACACATTGGAATGCAAATTCATTTTGAAGGGTATCCAAACAGTGAAGTACATTAGACAAGTATTTTCATTCTCAAATGCATTTGACAAACACATTTACATATGTTTATTTTTTATATGGTACATTTCTATGTGTAATATTTCCCAATATATTTCAGAATACATTTATTTTTAAATGTATTTGGTTAATACAGCAATGTATTTGAAGTGTTGATGTTAGCTTCCTATTCGCCAGCTTCTTTTTAAAAATTTCCCATTCCACCTTAAATGGTGTAGTAGTTACATTCTGGCTCCTGAGTTGTTGAAAAAAGTTCGAAAAAAGGTGGCGAATAGGAAGCTAACTTCAGCTTTGTTCCATTTTCCCGGACTCTCTGGTCTTACGAACACTTTAGTTGTTAAATATGGTTCTTTTTAAAAGTGAAGGGACATACGTAGTTATGTGCCATTGTTAATCTACAAAAAAGGTTTATTTAAGCATCCAAAATGGTTTTGTTAAAAATAAAATACCAAAAATGCAGTACTTTGTGATTATATACCGAAATTAATGGTAATCTTAATTATACTGCGATGTAAATTTTTGTTTTTTTTCCCGTACTTTACATTGCTCTGATACATTGATTGACTAATCGTTAGCAGCGTGATTCTTGTGGCAAAAACCAAGAAGCGACTACATTTGGGATGAATAAAATTTTTAGCAGTGATTCTGTGCTACGTTTGGATTTCTGGATGTGAGATGGAGCTACTATACAGCTTGTAAGGTTTATTTAGTGACTCTCACCCCTAAAATGTCTCCAAGCTCATTAGTGAGCAGGTCCTTCAGCTCTCCCTTGGTCAGGGTGTACTTGTCTCCCTCCTTTCCAGAATACTTATGGAAGGCCGAAATCAGAAGTGCCATGGCACTCTGCACCTGGCTTGTCTGGGACATGGTGGCTTCTGGAGCAGAAAGGAAACGGTACATTTCATTTACATTTCATTATAGGTGGAAGTTTTTCATTTCATTTTCGTGCATGTATTCACTTTACAAAGTGTGGATTTTTCCATATTTTCAAAGCAAGTGCAACACATTGTCCTCTGTGAATGCACACCAGCGTGCATATAATAACTTGTAATAATATAATAATAACAGTTCAGTATTAAAAGGTAAATGTTACAATTAAGTTCCATTCTTATTTCATCCAAATGGAGAGAGATCATTCTGCATAGCTCGCATTTAATTGGCACCACATGGATGCAAAGCAGAGAAATAAACCAAGACGCCCCTCACTGACTAATAGCGCCACACCCTGCTCTAGCCTAGAGGAAGTTAAGGGCATTCTTCCCTGTGTGCCGTGATAGGAGGAATCACCCAAAAGGAAGGAAGAGAGAGAGAGAAAGAAAGAAAGAGGGGAGGAGAGAAGGAGATGACAGGACGAAAGGACGAGAGGAGTGGTGAAGTAAATGATCGGTTTACACACAAGCAGGCCAACGCCCTCCACTCATGTGATGGTGAGCTGTGAGGGTAAGAGGAGTTGAGGAAGAAGCAGAATGGAAAAACACAGGGAGGAGCGTTGTGTTTGCAAGAGAGAGAGGCTTTACAACTCCTACGTAGCTTCTTGGCTCGCCGTGCAGAGTGATTGAAACTAGCACCAAAAGAGGGTGTGAAGCCAGAGAGAAGTGCATTCCTCTCCAGTGATTCTGGAAAGGAATGCACTCAAGAAAACACCAACAGTTTGCTGCGGTAACAGTCGAGTAGATCCAGAGAAATGCTGCCAAAGTCTGCACCACCAGGTCAGGACCCAGCAGCTAAAACTTAAAATAGTTACGCTAACATTCGCAGCACCGTCACTCGCTCTTTGTAGAGCAACAAGTCTTTTTTCCCACTCACCTTAGGTTTGTCTGGAGACCTCAATGAGCAACGAGTAGGAGAGAGAAGGAGGGAGTGATGGAAAGAGGGATGGACCTGCTGTTATATGCACTAGCTGCCACACCCTCTGGCTATATCCGTTCTGCCCCTCTTAGCTCATGGTTAACTCCCTCCTCCTCGTCTTCTTTCTCTCTTCATGTCCTTTTATGCCTCCCCGAGTGTTGGAAGGTTACAATAGCGCCATGATTACCACTATAAAATTGTTAAAATATCTAAAGCCCCTTTTGTCCTGCTGGAATGCAGCGTTGAATTTCACCCTCAAACTACCATAGAAAATCTGTTTGCCTGGTTCTTTGCATGGGGCGTAACATCGGAAATCTTCTGTGCTAGTAAAAGTTCAGTTTTCCTGAGGCCAGGGTGGCTCAGTTAAACCGCAACAAATTCAAGTTTCTGTTGACAGTCTGGAGGCGCAAACTAAAACCTCCTGCAAATAACTACCCCATGATTCACTAGACGAGCAAGTTTAACCAGGTAATAAGGCTATTAAGCTATTGTGCACACAGTACAGCTAGGTGTGTCTGCATGTAGGACTGAAGAGTATTATGATAATCCACATGTTCTCAAGAATAGACGGCAAATAGAACCACCTGCAAATTAAGCAAGTGAAAAGTAACCGACTCAAGTAGGTTACTGGACGTTTGCAGGGCAATAAAGCTGAAACAAGTCCTTATTAGCAACTATGTGTACAGAACTATGTCAGATATACTCAGGAAACTAAAATATGCATGTTTATGCACACCGGACACTTTATTGGAAACTCCTACCTTGCAGTTCCACCTTGTTGGCAGATACTTATAGACCATCTGCTGATGGAAAATTTGTGTTTGTCCTTCATCAGTGGTCAGTTTCTGACCACGGAGCCACTCTTGGCTGGATATTTTTGGGTGATTGACCACTTTCAACCAAGCAGTGACACTGATGTGTGTTAAAAGCCCAGCAACACAACTGTGCCTGATACACTCGTAGCGCACATATACACATGCATAGTAGACCTGTAAGGTAGGTGATGCAGAACGTTTCTAATGAAATGGCCAATGAGTGGAAAGACGAGGTGTTTCTAATAAAATGGCCAATGAGTGGAGGTACAAGAGGTTTCTAATAAAATGACCAGTGAGTGGAAGTAAACAGGGTTTGTAGAAGTGTGCAGTGAGTAGCAGGACAAGAGGTTTGTAATAAAGTGTCCAGTGAATGAAGAAAGAAGGGAGGAGTTCCTAATAAAGTGGACGGTGTGTGTATTTTGTAGTTGGTTATTGGAAAAGCCCAAATACTAACTCTGCACAGTATGTTTTGTTTTCAGTGCCAAGATATATACAGTACACACCCAAACTTCATGTCTGGGCAGCACTGAGAAACTATCTAGTTTCAGTAAGTAGTAGTAACTAAGTAGCACTTAATGTTAGTTTGGCCTAAAATGTACACAATTCCCCCTTTACTGCAATTGTAGAGGCACACTTGACTGTTGCTATCTTAACAAATAGAGTACAGACAAAATTCAAGCTCTAGATACGAAATAAGCAATTCTGTTTAAGATTACTGAACAACGTTGAAGGCAGTGTGTGATGATTTTCGTAGACAGAGCCTTTCAGGGCCTTCTAGGCCTTCAGAGAAAACCTAATGATTTAGCTAAAAAATACATGTCTGTTATTTGAGTGAGTGGGGAGTTTTTTATTCTATAAAATCATGCTTGTAATTGAACTCTGCAAGCATTATAGTACTACTCTTGATTCATTGTTGACAAAAGGGTTAAATGTTTTTCTCCATTGTCTCAGAAAATATATCTAAGCAAGCTCTTTAATTGGTTAAGACTTCAAGAACTGAAGAGAAGACCTAACGTATCAGCAGAAGTGATAGACGAATCAGTTACAAGTAAATTTCCAAAAATGTCACTCTAGGCAGAAGCTTTAGATACATCCCTGAGCCGCAGCCTAATCAATGGGTTGTTCGAACTGGGAAACAGCAGCACTTCTGCACTGAAAGGATCACAAGGATCACAATGGTACATCTGCCACAAGCTTCACAGAAAACATGGAAGGTCTTTCAGAAGCTTCAGCTGTCTGTGTTTAATGTGCAACGGCAAAAAAAATCATGTGAATAGATGTTAGCTTACCACTGACGAACTACTAGAATCCCTTAGGGACACTAGCAGAAGTTAACATTATTGTAGAGGTGTTTTTTCCCCACGTTTTGACTGAGTTTTGACCATTATGATTTGAACTGAAGGCCTAGCTCTAATAATCACCTTTTGCTGCTAGATTTCAGCATATAGGTTGCACAACCACTGTCTGTAAGCTTCTGTTACATGTTAGCTATGTCAGCCTCGAATGAAGATACTGAACATACTCTTGACTCATTAACTACAGTTTTGGTAAAACTGGCCTCTAGGAATACTTCATCAAAAAGAATGTTCATACATTCAAATGCAAACTGGGGAGATAGTTAACACACCCGAGGGCATGTCTGCCTACGATGCATTGCGCAAACACTCAGATCCGAGTTGAGCCAGGCAAAACTCTTAGCAGTTTAACTGTCTGACAAGCGATTTAGCAATCACTCCTCCTTATGTTTTACTGTATTTATGTTTATTTGCGTTTAGTTTGTAGTATAATGGTATCGGCATCTTTACAGGCAAAAACAAACTTACTGTCTATAAATTGTTTTGAATATTAGAATTTAAAATGTTAGATTTAGGGCTCTCCGCCCTTATGTTGTTCATTTGGTAATTAAAGATGTTTGTTTGGGATGTTTATTGCCTTGAAAAGCCAAAATGCCACTACATTCACATTTACTTCCACTACAAACAGAAAATCCGGATTCGGATGCTTAGGAATGGGAGCCATCACAAACCGATTCTTTCAATATTCAAATGCATTGGTGGCTTCCTCGTTCCACTGCAGTGTCTTACTTTTACCTTGCAACAAAAAGGTCAGGGGAGCAGACACAGTACTAAATCCCCAAATAAATTGGTGGTAAAATTAGCAAATCCTAGGAATCTCTGTAACTTCTTTATACTGATAGGCTTGGGCCACTGTACTACTGCTTTCCCCTTGCTGTCTTCCATGCACACTCCCTCCTGATCTAGAACGTATCCAAGAAAAGAAACCCGTTCTTGGTTAAATGTTTCTGCTTTGACATGTAAACGATGCTGTTGCAATCTTTGGAGAACCGATGTTCTTCAAGGGCCGGAAAAAAAAAAAAAAACACTAAGATAGCATCAAAATAAACAATGACCTATTGATCTAACATGTCTCCAAGGACCTCGTTGATAAAAGCTTGGAACACAGAAGTAGCATTTGCCAGGCCAAATGGCACTACAGCACATTCATAGTGCTCACTAGTGGTGACAAAGGCAGTCTTTGTTTCGTCACGTTACCTCATACATATCAGGTTATGAACACTCCGTAAGTCTAATTTGGTATACGCAGTAGCTCCTCTTAACTGTTTGAGGGCAACAAGTACTAAAGATAGTGGATATCTATACTAGACAGTGATGGAATTAAGCCCTCTGTACTCAATACATGGGTGGAGGCTGCCATTCTTTTTCTTGACAAAGAAGGAGCTGGCAGCGGCTGGTTTTAAAGCCTTATCTATATATTCATCTAAAACCTCAGATTCTGGTTTGACAAAGGATAAATTCTATTTCTGGGAGGTGTGGTACCAGGCAACATGTCAATGACATAGTCCAATGGCCTGTGGGGGGGCAAATTTCGTAAAAATACCTCACAGAGTTCTGAATAACAAGATGGGATATCACTAGGTACTTGGCTCTTTGGACTAGCTAATGCAAACGGCAGTCACTCTTTGCACAGACACACTGTTCGCAATTGGCCCAGACTTCACTCCTGTCTGCTAAGTCTTTCTTTCTGTATGGGTTCTTTAAAGGAATGTTTTACAGAAACTTGAAATTTGCACAATTTCCCCCTTACCCCACACTTCAGCCAAGTGTCCATCAGCCAAGACATGTTTGGAGTCTGAAATTTGCATTAAAGCCAAAAAGCTAATATTATAGAAGTTACTGAATAAAGATTTTGGGTGTCATAGGCTTCCATTCCTTGTTTGCTATATTAGCCTTCTAACTGCTGTGCAAACACACCAAACATGTCTAAGCTCATTGAGTTTGGGGGAAGTTGTGTAAATTAGATTTTTTGGTGAATATTTTAAGAGCCAATTACTGCTAATGTTAGTTTTCTACTGCTTTGTGTGTATTGATTGTGGACTAATTTGTTCTATATGTGCTGCTAATTAGTGTTGTGCTGTATTATGGGGGGTTATATACTGTTCACAAATTCATAGAGTGACCTATAGTAGTTATCAAGCACAGACTTGACTTGTACAAGCAACACTGAGGGAAAGCAAAAAGAAAGAGAGTAAATGTCCATAAAACCTACTGCTTACACGCATGCTAGATGACTCAGTGTCAGCTGCATGGCTTTGATTAGTGTCCCCTGTGTGTCCCACTGTTGTGTTTCTATGATAATGCTGTCCATTACTGCTGTGAGAAGATACGTTTGTTTTTATTATTGGTTGGTGACTGAGTTGTGTTAAGAAAACAGGGAGGAAGCAAAAGGGTGTGCATGTTTTGGTTCAGCAAGTATTATAAAAGGACATAAAAAAAAAGATCTGGAGGCCTGTGAATGTGTGTATTTAGCACTTTGTGTGGACCAAATGAATGATGAAAAAACACAACTCTGACCCCTCAGAAGGCACAGCATAAAAAACCTGCATGCTTTCGTCATGGATGTCACTGCATGGGCTCTGGACTACTTTGACAAACTGTTGTCAATAAACTGGTTGTTGCTGCATCTACAAATACTGACTTCTTTGGCCTGGAGCCTATGTGAAATGGACTGATGCACCGTGGAAACATATTGTGGTCCTCTGAGTCAAACTTTCGGATTGGTTATGAAAATAATGGATTTTGGGCCAAAGAAGAAAAAGTAACAACAGCTGTAGGGGGCGATGGAAGGATGACATCAGCTATGAGAAATGACCTGAGGAGAGCCACGAGAGATCGTGGGAAGACGACAACAGCCATGAGTGGTACGGGGACGCTGCCTGTGCCATGGGCTCCGCCTCCACATCTCGCTTGCCAAAG